GAAAACTGAGGACTGAAGATATTAAGTAACATTTCCAAGATCCACCAACCAGAAAGATATAGAACCAAGATTCAGACCAAATCTGGTCACCAAGACTTGGCTGTTTCCCTTTTTACTGTGTTGTAGTTTATGACACCGGAGAAGGCAATGGCAGCCCACTCCAGTACTCTTGCCCGGAGAATCCCATGGACAGGGAAGCCTGGTAGGCTGCAGTCCATCGGGTCACTCACTACGAGTCAGACAGGACTGAGCGACTTCACTCTCACTTTTCACTTTCGCACATTGGAGAAGGAAATGGCAGCCCACTCCAGTGTTCTTGCCTGGAGAATCCCAGGGACGGGGGAGCCTGGTGGGCTTCTGTCTATGGGGTCGCACAGGGTCAGACATGACTGAAGCGACTTATAGCAGCAGTTTATGACACCGCTGCTCAGGAAATTTTATTGGAGTTTTTGCCTCTGTACTACAGTAGGTGCTTTTCTTGTTTTTTTTAAAATAATTTTATTTATTTATTTATTTATTTATTTATTTTTGGCAGCACTGGGTCTTTGTTGCTGGCAGGCTTTTTTCTCTGGTTGCGGCAAGCAGGGGCTACTCTCTAGCTGTGGTGGGTTAGCTTCTCATTGTGGCGGCTTCTCTTGTTGCAGAGCACCCGATCTAGGGTAAACGGGCTTCAGCAGTTGCGACTCCTGGGCTCTAGGGTGCAGGCTCAATGCTGTGGCCGGCCGGTTTAGCTGCTCTGTGGCATGTGGGATCCCCTCCTCAGTGTGGGCGGGCCTCATCCCATCAGTTGGAGGCCTGAATAGAACAAAAAGACTGACCCTCTCCCAGATAAGAGAGAATTCCTCCTGCCTGCCTGCCTTTGAGTGAGGATGTCATTTTTTCCCGCCTTCATACTTGAACTGAAACATCAACTCTTCCTGGATATCGCGACTGCTTGTCTTCAGCCCAAAACTTTGCCCACAGCATTCCTGGTCCTCCAGCTTGCTAACTCACCCCTGCCAGTCTCCATAATCACATAAGCCAATTAATTATCATGAATTTCTTTCTGTCTGTCTTTTTGTGTGTGACACACACACACACACACACACACACCCTTTCTCTGGAGACCTTTGATGAATACACTGCAGTGCTGTGCAGATAAATGCCAACAAGTGATAGTGAAACAAGAAAGTAAGTTTCCCTGCAAAATGCAGGAGATAGAAACTATATTACAGTTATATGTGGACTTGGAGCAAATATTATTCCTTGCACTTCGTATTAAGGACTCTGATTTCAGGACAGGACAAGTCATGGTAGCAAAGCACTGATGAACACTGGATGGGAAAGTCGACAGCTCTCTTACTTGGACCCCAGGGGCCCCGCCACCAGGCTTCCATCACAGCCTCTGTGAATGCTATAATGGTCACAGGGTTCACTCACCAGTCTGGAGGCTCTGTCTTTCCCCAGACACAGGTGTGAAGAGGGAAGGGAGGAGGGTATATGTCACACAAAACAGAATCTGCCTAAAATGCAAAACCAAAGAAAAGGAGGACATTTCCTTTAGCCATATCTGGCTGAAGCTGTTCATCAGTTCCTTGCAAGGAGAGATTGGAAGAGAATCCACCCCATTGTAGATTAGTTATTGTTTGTTGTGTATAATTCTGATTAACTGTAATGATAGTAATAATAACAGTGAACATTTATTGTATGATCACTATATTCCAGCTGCTGTGCTAAGTTAAACTTTAAGGGTATCATCTCTTTTAACTGTCACAGTAAATGAAGTAGATTCTCATATTGCCTTATCATATAAATGAGAAAAGTGAGACTTGAAGAGAACTCATCGACTTGCTACGATTGAACAGCTATTGAGTGGCCTGATCAAGGTTTCATGCAGGCAGTGTGATGTACAGCCTGTGTTCTGAGCTCCACTCCTTGGAGTGAAGGTGGCCATTCTCATCTGGTTCTTTTGGCTGACTTCATAAAGTTAAAGATACCCTCCAAGTTCCTGAATGGAGTGGTGCCTATGTGGCAACTGCAGTCAAGATTGTGTTGTCCAGACTGGCTGATGAGGTGCACAGCTTGCCTATTCAGTGCTGCCTGAGTGTGCCTGTGTGTGACTGGACATGCCATCTTTTTAGGTGGCAGTTTTCACCAACAGTGGCTTTTGCTGCTTCTTGGGATGTCAGCATTGTAGTTAGATCACTTCCGAATAACCAGGAATTTGTTCCAAATCCTTTTGTCGCTCAAGCTGTATGGCAATAGGTAAAATGATCTAAACCTTTAGATCTTGTATCTGTTAAGGAGGGATTCTAGTACCTGTTTCATAAGATCATTGTGAGGGCTAAAGGATAAACCTGGGTCAAGCATATACAATGCCTGGCACTCAGAAGGGACTCAATGAATGTTTGTCTCCTAAAGGAAGAGCTAAACCTTTTTGGTCCTGCATCCTTTAGGGTTTGTTTGTTTTTTTAATCCCAATACACATGAATAGAGCCCTTCAGTTCAATCTAACATATTTGTTGTGTACAAATATGATGGGCTCTGATTCCCAAGGATCCCTGGCTCCTGGGGTGGGTTGGCAGACTAGGTCCTTGGTTTGTTACAGATCTTGGCATGGGCTTGCAGCACCTACTGGAAGCTCTGAAGGAACTGAGACCACGATGACATCTCCTGCTTCCCCTTTAGGGTCTGGAGTACAAGTTCTGTAGCCTCAGTGCAGAGAAGCTAGCACAGACTTAGTTGTGAGCCCAACAGCTCACATCCCAGAACATGAATTTTGGAGAGCACCTTCCTACTGCACAGTAAAAAGAAGTCCAATCCTTTGCACCTTGGAGATGGCAAAGGTGGCATTTTCTTCAGCATCAGGAAGGAGGCACATGAGTAAAGAAGTTTGTGTGGTCACAGGTTTCCCTTTCTCTGTCATTTATCTCATAAGACCCTAAAGGACCTGGTGGAGTCTTGACTCTTGACTCCTCCATGGAGTGGAGACAGAGGCTAACGCTTGTTCCAAAGGCTGCCTGCATGACTCCGGTTGTGTCAAAGGCGTTTGCTCTTCATCCTGACATCTGCTCAGTCCTGGTGCTGGAGCTATTTTGGGTAGCTGACTACAGGCATTACTTCCCATCATCCCCGAACAGATCTCATGAGCCTATAATTGCTCTGAAACTCTCTATGTGTGTGTGCCTGATAATAAGTCTGCTTTAGAGGCTTAAAGAGCTCCCTATGGACGTTTCTGCCCTTTCTCATGACCCCTGGTTCCTCTTTAGCAGGCAGGGGATAAAGTCTTTGAGGAAGAGAATCCATGCTGAACACAGCCTGGTCTGGACACGCTCTTCTGGCTGTGCTGGGTGCCCAGAGCGGGGCGGACGCACGCTCACAGGAACCAGGGAGCCTCAGGAAAGGGTGTCCCCTGGGTTTGCACGGGGCTCTGGGCTTGAGGCCCAAGCTGAGGGATGCCAGGACTCTTGCCATGCCAAGCCTCTTCTCCTTTAGACGTGAACTGTATGACAAGCCTTAAGCGAACTTAAAAAGGGAGAAATAACAGAAAACTGAGCAAAAGAAAATAGAATTAAGTAATTATAATGGTATGGTTTTCAGTAGGATGCCTCCCAGTAGGTTCAAAAACTGTAAGTGGGTTTCTAAGGCAGTGAAAACCTCTCCTCAAAGATGCTCTTAAAGGCTGGGAGGGAGGTTTGGGGGAGAATGGATACATGTATATGTATGGCTGAGTCCCTTTGCTGTTCACCTTAAACTACCACAGCATTGTTAATTGGCTAACCCCAATACAAAATTAAAAGTTTAAAGTATGAAAAAAAAAAGCTGCTTGAAACAGCAGCAGTAGTGACAGCCATATCATTTTTACAGGCCTTACCTGTGCACCTAACACAATGCTCAAGCATGCATGAATATAGCTCACTGAGTCCTTCCTGCATCTCTGATGTGTGAAGTTCACCTCCTTTTACACATATGGAAATGCAGGCACTGAGTTTAAACCCGTGGCTGGACATCACAAGGGGATGCATGGCAGCACCAAACTCCAAGTGCAGGTCTCACTCCAAACACCTAGGTTTTGATTAATAAGTTCCAAAGCCATGTGAGCATGAGGTGATTTAGTGGTGGAATACACTTTGCCTGTTTCATGAGACTGTTGTCAGAATACAGAAAAGCATTCTGAGGACTTGCGGTATTGTACAAGTATAAAGAGGCAGTATTATCATTGGGTCATTTGATTTTTCAACTCTATGATGGATTCTTAGTGCACATCTCCTATATAATCACTAGGGGGAGGCAATAGACAATGCATATAAGCAAACTTAGTCTTGGAAGGGAAGTGTATTTTTGTAATTGAGGCTCAGAGATTTAAAATAGAAAAGCAAAGACTTGTGTTAGGCACTGACTGCCTTTCTCATCCAGATTTGATCCTGTGCTTCCATTGAAGTGTTTCCATGAAGGCATCTTATCCTCTCATGAATACTTTTGAATAGTGGGTGTTGCCCAGCAAATGAATGGACGATGCTAAAGGCTAAGCATTGACTCTCTCATTATCCTCTGGCTTCTTGCCTTGTTCCTCTGTAATCACTTTTGTTTTTCTTGAGGTTCAGTTTCCCCTTTCTTCATTCCTCTGTAAACCATGTTTGTTGGTCATGTGAAGCAGAGCTGGTGAGGCATGCTCTTGACCATTCCCATCCATTTAAATGTGCTCTTCTGGGCTAGTCTGTTTGGTTATTGCATGCAAAACTTTTCATGACTATTTCTAGTTCATTGTCATCCTGGTGCTTCTATCATGATTTGTTCTCTTCTCTTTCCATTTTTCTAGAATTCTTCATTTCCCTTTTGGAAAGGGAAACATGTTGGACTAGTAGTTCAAGCCCTATGAATACCACTCATGAGCTAGTTGACTTTGAGACACAGAACACCACTGTAATGAACACCAGGAGTAATGATAACTTCCAAGTCTACCATTCAGATACAGAATTATTTACTTCATTATGTTAATCTAGCTCTTGCCTCTGCTGTTCATGCAGAATTACTCAAATAGTACACCATCTCTCCCACTTCAAATATTTCTGGGACTTAGTCCCCGGGTACTTATGAAGGAGTCTCTACCTGCACTGTCTGCACTGTCTGCACTCTTCTGCCAGGTGAAGATATTTTGTGGGAGAGCTATATGGACCTCTATTGCCAAAAGGAAGAAGGGCTCTCTTCCCTTGTCTTACTACCTGCTGGAAGGAGCCCAGAGCAGCGCTGCTCAAACTTCCAGGTGTGACAGTTTACCACCATCTCAGTTGCCCACTCTCACCTCAGGACTGGCTGGAGGTGGGGAGAATAGCCTTTCCCCCAGCCCCGTCCCACTTGACTTGTGACTGTCTATTCTCCTTTAACAACCAAGGGCCAGTCAGTGGTGCTCAACTCCCCTCCCTTAAGACAAGCTGTACATCCTGGGTATACAAATAGGGTATTTGCCAGGCATAACCTAATATTTTTGAACCTATCAACAGGTATATCCTGAGTTCTTTCCACAGACTTACCATGCACATCAACTATTGTAAGACCATCTCTGTGGCTCCTGACCCCCAGGGGTGGATGTGGGGGCTGTGGCTGAAGATGAGATCTCCACTTTGACTGCAAAGAATTTCCACTGGGACCATGGCTCTCCTCTTGCCCAGGTCTTCATGGCTTTCTTCCTCCACGTTTCCCTCAATCTCTGTCTTTCCTTCTAAATACCATTGAAATGTGTTCACAACAATCCATGTCAAAAGACACAGGATTTGCTTGAATAGGCTCCTCTCCTAACCAGATTTGGGACAACTTGAATATGAAAGTTAATAATCAGAATAATAATGACAGTAATGGATAATAACACTTTACATTAAATAAATTATCTACTAGTCCATATTTATACTGAATAAAAAAGGGAAGGAGAAGAAAAATCCCTTCTTTGTAGACGAATGTAAATGAATAAATACAGAGGAATGACAGAATTACAAAACTCATCATTTTTCAGTCACTGCAGTAAAAATTAATTCAGGTAAGAATTTTTAATGTATGCTAAAACCATTTGGTGAAAGGTTGATGAGGCAGAGGGTATTCACAGTTTCTAGGTATCATCTCCTAGATTACTTTTTAATTACAAAGGGGAAAAGGTCTGTTATGAAGGAGAAATCTGGAAGACACTACCTTAGCTAAATGATCAACATTAACATCAACAATAATGGATAAATTGACATCATGGTCTCTGGTGTGACACACGAGGACCAACACCACCTGTGTGGGATTCTTGCCAAAAATAATTAGTCTGAATCCAATCAAGAAGAAACCATCAAATACAGCCAAATTTGAGGACATTCTACAAAACAACTGGCCTGAATTCTTCAAAAATTCAATGTCATAAAAGATGAAAAGAGAACTATCCCAGACCTGGTGATATAAGAATTATCATGAGAACTAAAATGAAAACTATCTCAGCTGGTAAAGAATCCTCCTGCGATGCAGGAGACACTGGTTCAATTCCTGGGTTGGGAAGAGCCCCCTGAGAAGGGATAGGCTACCCACTCCAGTATTCTTGGGCTTTCCTGGTGGCTCAGATGGTAAAGACTCTGCCTGCAATGCGGGACACCTGCGTTTGATCCCCGGGTTGGGAAGATCCCCTGGAGAAGGGAACAGCTACCCACTCAAGTATTCTGGGCTAGAGAATCCCCGTGGACAGAGGCGCCTGGAGAGCTACAGTCCATGGGGTCACAAAGAATTGGACACGACAGTGACTCAGCACAGCACTGCAAGACACTTCAGCTAAGTGCAATGTGTGATCCTTGACTGGATCCTGGTTATTGGGAAAAGTTTGCCTCTAAAAGACAGCTTTAGAACAATTGAGAAAGTTTGAATTTGGATGGTAATAGTGTCATATCTATGTTAGAAATCTTAACTTGTATAAAAAACAAAAGTTTTAAGTGAAGTTAGAAATAAAATGAAATAAAATATCATTCATTATTTACATGAATTTGTTTTTCTAAAAGCCTACAGATTTTATGGGCTGGTAAATATTTCTGTGATTCTTGCTCCTTTTCTGATTTTCTCTCTCAATTTTCTTTTGGTTATTTCTTGGTAAGATGGATCTCACAAAGAGGGATAATAAACAAGAAATGGCATTTAAAATTTTTATTTATTTTTAAAGATTTTATTTATTTTTTTGGTTGCACGGCATGAGGGATCTTAGTTCCCTGACCAGGGATCGGATCTACACTCCTGCACTGGAAGCATGGAATCCTAACCACTGAATTGTCAGGGAAGCCCAAGAAACGGCAGTTTGAAGGGCACCATTATTATAGCTGGTATTTCCTTCGGGGACAGTTGTGGGAGAGTCACAGCTTTTGACAAGAGGCCATTTCTGTTTTTAATGGACAAGGGCTTGGTTTGGGATAAGACCTTAAGGACTTTGTTTAGGTTCTAAAAGTTTGCTTATTTGAAAAACGCGGTATTTCCTTTCCTTGCTCTTACTAGCTCAACACCCAGGGCAGAAGCCTGGAAGCAGGGAGGCTCCATAAATAGGTCATCTGGATCATGGAACAACTTGGACATGGAGCCCAAGGGGCAGTGAAGCCAGCAGTTCCTTGCCAAGAGGAGAAACACTTGTTACTATTGGAAAATTACCATCATTACTATTTTGCTACTATTCAGTTCAGTTCAGTCGCTCAGATGTGTCTCTCTCTTTGCAGCTCCATGGACTGCAGCACACCAGGCCTCCCTGTCCATCACCAACTTCAGGAGCTTGCTCAAATTTATGTCCTTAAAGTCGGTGATGCCATCCAACCATCTCATCCTCTGTCGTCCCCTTCTCCTCCTGCCTTCAATATTTCCCAGCATTAGGGACTTTTCCAATGAGTCAGTTCTTCACATCAGGTGACCAAAGTATTGGAGTTTCAGCTTCAACATCAGTCCTTCCAGTGAATATTCAGGATTGATTTCCTTTAGGATTGACTGGTTGGATCTCTTTGCAGTCCAAGGGACTCTCAAGAGCCTTCTCCAACACCACAATTCAAAAGCATCAATTCACTGCAATGTTGTAAAGTAATTAGCCTCCAACTAATAAAAATAAATGGAAAAAAAAAAGCATCAATTCTTCGGTGCTCAGCTTTCTATATAGTCCAACTCTCACATCCATACATGACTACTGGAAAAACCATAGCTTTGACTAGATGGACCTTTGTTGACAAAGTAATGTCTCTGCTTTTTAGTATGCTGTCTAGGTTGGTCATAACTTTCCTTCCAAGGAGTAAGCGTTTTTTAATTTCATGGCTGCAGTCACCATCTACAGTGATTTTGGAGTCCCCCAAAATAAAGTCTCTCACTGTTTCCATTATTTCCCCATCTATTTGCCATGAAGTGATGGGACCAGATGCCATGATCTTAGTTTTTTGAATGTTGAGATTTAAGCCAACTTTTTCACTCTCCTCTTTCACTTTCATCAAGAGTCTCTCTAGTTCTTCTTCACTTTCTGCCATAAGGGTGGTGTCATCTGCATATCTGAGGTTATTGATATTCTCCCGGCAATCTTGATTCCCACTTGTGCTTCATCCAGCCCGGCATTTCGCATGATGTACTCCGCATATAAATTAAATAAGAAGGGTGACAATATACAGCCTTGATGTACTCCTTTCCCAATTTGGAACCAGTCTGGTTTTCCATGTCTAGTTCTAACTGTTGCTTCTTGACCTGCATACAGATTTCTCAGGAGGCAGGTCAGGTGTCTGGTATTCCCATCTCTTTAAGAATTTTCCACAGTTTATACTCTTATTGTTATTTGAGTTCCAAAGGGAAAAACAAAACCAACCTCCCCCCCCCCCAAAAAAAAAAAACTGAAGGAGCATAAGGTTGACTTCAAAAACAATGGCACTGGAAAGAAAGAATAAATATGTAAGGACAGTCTTTCTTGCCAAATATAAATCTTTTCTTGGCTTTGGAGAAGTTTCTTTGGTTTTGATTTTTGAGTTAGGAGATAAGTTGAGTTTGATATAAGAAGTATTTCAGAGAAAGGATCACACCATCAGAACCAAGCCCCAGCCTTGAAGTTGGTAGATGGAAACCCCAGTGAAGTCTGGGTGACCGCACCCAGAACGCGGTGACTTGTGTGTTCCCTGCCTGTATGCAGGCCAGGGCCCACGAAGGTGGAGAAGGAAAGGGTGATTAGGGGACATCCAGGGGCACTCCCCTACCCCCTCATAGTGCAAAGAGAATTCCAAGGGTTCTGGGCCCCGGGAAGGACGAGGAGGGGCTGAGAGAGGCCCAGGGTGGGGAAGACGTGGGCATAGACATGTACTTAGTTTTGACAAGAATGAGTTTGCTGCCATCAGTAGATCAGGGGCTCAGATATAGAAATTAAGTTGGCTATATATAATTAATATGATACCTTGACAGTCTGAGTCAGGCTCTGAAATTGGAATGGCTATCCCCGCTTCGTTGGGTTTTGCTGGAGCCTGAATAAACTGCTGTTACTGAGAGCAGATCGTATCTGAACTTCTCTTGGTTTTTTTTTTTTCATTCATTTATTTTTTTGCTTCTTTTATTTTAGATTAAGATTTTCCCAGGACTGGGAGGCCAGGCCCTTTGTTTCAGTCCCCTCCTCCTTCCTGCTCCATCTAGGATTCCTGATCCAGAAGTGCACGGGAGCGGTTTGCGGTGAATCTTTCTTCTACCTTTCTGGGGCTCATTCCCCATCCTCAGTCTGCACCCAGTGCTGGCCCGAGATGACTGGGGGGGGGGGGGGCTGGGGTCGCCAGGGACCCAAAGGCGCCCTGAGGAGAAGCCCCTGTCTTCCACCCCTGGGCAGCAGCAGCTCTTGCTGCAGTTTGTCTTTCAGCTCCTCCGGTAACTTCCCCTTGAACGCCCTGGAGGCACAAGGATGCGAGGCAGCTGCCAGCGGCGGGCCACTCCATCCACTACCCGCACCCTGTATCCGTCCACGGTCCATGGTAGGAAGGGCCAGGCTGGGAGGCCGCCGGCTGCCAGCCCTGGAAAGCCACCGCCCCGGGCTGTGAGGGTTTTTGTTAATCAATCACACAGGTGAGTGTGAGCTTCAGGCGCCCAGGGAAGTTACATGGCAATCTATAGCTTTAAGAGCCCCGAGGAAACTGCATTTGTTTGTTTCCGAGGCTTTGAGTTTCAAATGTCTAGTAATAAACCGTCCATTACTAGGACTCGCTGTCCTAGTAAATAGAGCCCCATCTGGGGACAAGAATTGGAGGTGGCTCTCTCCTCCATCCACAGCAGGGTGTAGGCTCCTGGTGGGCTGGGGTGGGCAGCTGGCCTTAGGAGGTTGCAGCGTCTGAGGAGTGATTATTCTAGAACCTTTGTTCCCACTCCTCCTCAGTGCTCTGTGGTCCAGCACCCCAGATGGTGACAGCCGGGTCCTGCAGGGCTGCACTCACTTTTAATGAAGCGGGCAGCCCTCTACAAACACTTAACCATTGAAGGGTCAGTGCTCAGTCAGGCACCTACCCTAGGAAGCTTGTTGGGTGCAGGACCAAGCCAGAGGCCAGTTTCTTTATCCGGAAAAATGGAAAGCTTGATAGGAAGGAGAAATAAGATGCAGCTTCACGTCACATTGAAAATACAACAGAGGCGGGAAAAAGTTTATTCAGGAGGAATAAATGGGTTTGTAAGTGGTGAGGTCAAATGCAGTCACAATTTGCCATTAAACTTTGGGGCAGTGAGGACAAAAAAAAAATAGTAATGGGCAAGAGAATTTCTAACTATTAAAAACTAATATTTCATGCCTTCTAGGTACCAGTTGGGGTTTCCTGGTGGCTCAGATGGTAAAGAATCTGCCTACAATGCAGGAGACCAGGATTTGATCTCTGGGTGGAGAAGATCCCCCGGAGAAGGAAATGGCTGCCCACTCCAGTATTCTTGCCTGGAAAATTCCATGGACAGAGGAGCCTGGCAGGCTACAATCCACAGGGTCACAAAGAATCAGACACGACTGAGCGACTAACTGAGACTGGGGTACCAGTGACTGCTTAGGCACTTGCCAGGGAATGTCTCATTTCATCCCCTCAATGGTTCTATGAGGAGGTCCCTAAACTTATGCCCATTTTTACATATGAGAAAACAGGGAGAGAGGTTAAATAACTGGGAGGTGGTGGCCCCAGTTGCACTAGGCTGCTCTTTCCAGAGCCCAACCTAAAACCTTCCGTCTAATGCTGCGCTGCCTCAATATACGGGAAAGGGGATGTGCAGTTCTTTCTGGCATTTTGATATGTATCATTAAGCCAAGAAACAGAGAGTAGTCCCACAGTCACCCAATGGGCCACACCTGATCTCACCTCGTCATTAATATGTTTGTGGATGGAGAGTGGAAAGCCTGTCTCAGGCAGCAGGTGCAGTGAGGCACTGGACATTTTCCATTCCAAAAGGTCACCCGGAGAGCAGAGGGGCAGGGAGCCTGGCTTCCCATTAGGCTTCCTCAACTCCAGATTCTGCCAGTTCCAGTGATGTGCTCACAACTGATGGATGACACCTATGCTGAAAATTAGGAGCAAGGGGAAGCAGTTTGCTTCAACTGTGTTTTAATGTGTCATTTTATGGACATATCTCAGGTTCCCCTCATTCTCTTGGCCTCACTTGCCTCCTAGATGCAGCTGGTTACTTCATCTCAGCTGTTGCAGCATGGCTCAACTCTGTAAAGGTTCTGTGCAGTTCAGATGCCCAGAGTCTCTGCCTGTTGCTAGGACTTCTGGATGTGAATGAGCATCATGCCATGTGATGGGGAGGGGCCATTTGATGTAACTCAGACATGCGGGGAAGTTTAATGGGCTACATCTTGGCCAACAAGACTGAAGGTAAGTAGATAAATTCCCTCTCCATTCTTCCCTTTTGATGGACAGTACTGAGATACATTTTCTTCTCTTTATAGCTTGATCAGTGATGTCTAGTGTGGCCGAACAGGTACACCCATTGTGCAATGGCTGCATCTTTTTATGATTTGGACAGCACAGTAAGACATCAACAAGCATTTACTTCCCATCCTTTCCCCTCATTTTCACTGCCCTGGCATTGTATTACCTGAATAAAACTTTAGCCCTTGATACTTGCCTATGAAATCAGGCTAAGAGTAATCTTGCCCGGGCTTTGGAGTTCAAAGAGAAGTTCCTTCTGCACTTTTCCTCTAGCTCACTGTCCTAGAGGACAGTGTTCAGGACCAGGACCATTCAGATTTAAAGGACGATAACTGTCCATGGACCAGACTGTCCAAGAAGCAGAACCTGGTGGCTTTGGTGTGGGAGATGTGGGCTCTGCTCAGAGAGCCTGATCCCCAGCATCTCCATGGCAAGTTTGATTGGGACTGGGGATTTGTAACCAGAGGACTATAACATCTGCCACCATCTTTCATTTCCTTGCTGCTTACCAGGTCCTGCCTTGATGGCCCCATCATTCCTCTTTTGTCTCTCACTGGTGGCTATGCCTTCAGCCTTCAAATCTTGTTAAACTAAGATGATCCAAACTTCTCTGACTGAGCCTAATATCATTCCTTACTAATAAGCTAAATGATGCCTCGGCCCCCAAGGGATGCAGATGTCTGTTGTGAATTCGTGATATTAGAAAGTTACAGCTATGACTTTCCATTCTAATCACTCTGAATGAGCTCCCTAGCTCTGATGTGACTGCCAAATTCCTGTGGGACTCTCCACAGATGAATTCTGGAAAAACTGTGAGAAACCATGTGGTCACCAGAGACACATATTTCAGATCCCTCTTTGTTGGCGCTCACACAATGATGACATAACCTAAGATTTCATGAGCCAACGTTTCTCTAAAAATACATTTTAAGTCTTTGGGATTTATAAAATGTCCCCCAATTCTTCATTATG